GCGGTTCCGGAGGCGATTTTCGAAGACCAAACCAAATACAAAGTTTCAGCACCGGGAGAATTTCTGCTGGCCACATTAAGTCGAATAAACAAATAAACAAATCCCCAGCGAAAGATTCGAGATTTAAGCCAAATTAATGGACAGTCTCTGTCCGCTGTTGGCTTGGCTTTCGTACCCCTTACAGGGAGGATGGGTATATGGGTTCCGTACGATCCCCAAGAATTGTTCAATTATTAATGGATCTATTGAAAACCAAACATATTTAGTTAGTCTAATATTATAAGCTTTTGCATATTTTCTTTTTTTTACAACTTTTGCATAGTTGTAACAACTATATTTAATAAAGTCACTAATTTACTCAATTTAATTTAATCTAAGATATTTTCTCAGAACTTTTTGTATATTATCTAAAACAGGGTGCATTTTAGTCAGATTGTTTGATTTTCGTTTTGGATTTCGTACTCTTCATAAGAAGAATGGGTATATGGGCTCTTTCATGTTCCATATGAATTTTGTAATTATTCTTTTTATCGAAATCAGATCTCTTGTTAAATGTAACTTTAATTTCGTTTATCCTAAACAGGGTGTCTTTCAGTCAACGAACTCATTTTGATTGCTTTGTTTTTGGTTTTGGTTTGGTTTGGTTTGGCTTGGTTTGATTTGGCGGGGCTTATTTATATTTGTGTTTGCCTAAAAAATTGGCGCTACCTACGCGAGTTTGGTTTTTAGCATCGTTTCTTCTTTTGTCTTCGCGATGATTCATGGCACAGCCATATAGCTACAGTCGCATTAAAGTCCGCATTCGCATTCATCCACAGAGTTTCTAGTACAGCAAAAAATAATACCATATATCGGGGTGGAGAGGGCAGGGGGTCGTTCGCCTAATCAATAACCATCAGTCGTCTTTACACACAGTAAACACACATAATAGATGGCCGTAAGCCGCAATTATTGATGGGCCCGTCGATCCACTCTGAACCCAGTTTGAGATTCAGTTTCGATTTCGGTTTCGGTCCCAGTCCCGCTTTCAATCCATGCCGTGCACAATCCGTCGTGTTTGTACATTAGACGCTAATCAATGCTAACAGCTCCCCTTCTCTGCTCTCCATTTCAGTTCAGCTCAGCGAAGTTCGGCTCGGAACGGCGATTTGTGCATTTAATGGTAAGTCAAGTCAAGTATACTACATACTATACATTTCTTAAACTGTTGTAACCCATTAAAATACAAAAAAAAATGTTTTTTTAATAATTCTGCTAATGCAGTTTCCTATGCTGCGACTGCTCTGCCGCCACACGCACAGTATACATCATAAACTGCCCACAATCAAAGACAACTGTACTCTATTGTATTCCAAACACAACGGATTCATATATGTATGAACGAAAAGAGCGAAAGCTTAGCATAAGTATATTGGTCAGGGGCGTAGCCTGGGGGTTTTTAAGTTGTACCGCCACCGTCCTTTTAGATAAAATCCTAAGCAAAACATTCTGCTAAAAAAGTTCTACAAAATAGGTTTAAGAAAACGCCCCCCAAAAAAATCCTGACTACGCTACTGACACAGCTTCTTCTAAACGAAAATATCACGCATACGCACAGGCGACACGCACAAGTTAAGCGAAATCAATCAAAGACAACAAATTTCCAGCACGCAATCAATTCATAGCTCCAAAGGAGGTGGACTATCTGAATTATGTGCGTCACTAGGTGTGGCAAAAAAAAAAGCAAAAACCCCGGCAAATAAAATGTATGTATGTTCTGCATCTTTAAGGGGGTTTAGTTCGGGGTCCTCGAGACAATTGGGCGCCAGTTGAGTCGTTTGAGTGTCTTTTGCGGGGGCCACCCACCTCTCTCTGTTTGCCGCGTTCCCGTGCGAATCAATCAAAATGGAGGCACTGCCCAGGACAGGAATCTGCCACATTTGCTGCGAGTAACGCGCAATTTAACCTGTCTGCCAGTCTGAGTTTTCTCCATGCCCACCGCACACTCCTGCTCACTCAATTATCATAATTGCGCCGCTTGGGGGCGGAGAAGGCCAAAATGATAATGTCGGCGCCAGCATTTCCGCTCTTATTAACGACCCGGGATCCTTGGACTGCCGACTCTGCTGGTCCTGGTTAAACACACCCAGCCGAGGACGGAACGGGCATGTGTCCATGTTGCGGCTTTGGTGGCTTTCTGGCTTTCTGGCTTTGTGGCTTTGTGGCCGCCTGACACGCACAATTAAGCCAGTGTTGGTCCAAGGATACGGGGTCTGGTCTCTAAAATCAAATCAAATAAAATCACAATTTACAACGCTCACGCACGCAGCCCTCTCTCTATATATATTAATATATATTTCTTGATGGGGGAGCCGAAAGAAAAAGAAAAATAAGAAAACATTGTGGCGCGTTCCTATTTTCCCAGTTTCTCTTCGATTTTTCCTGCCTGCCTTAATGCACTTGACCTTCAGAATTTGAATTTGAATTTGAATCTGAATCCAAAACCAATTCCAAACCCCCTTGGACCTCAGGCGAGACAACATTTGGTTGCAATCTGTTCGCGTTTGTCTGCCACTAAGTATTTTCGATCCAGTTTCCGTTCAAAGTTTTGAGCAATTTCACTAGTGAGTGCTAGAAATACATTTTATTTTTGGGTGCCCCGTAAAATAATGCAAAGTGAAATAACGCCCAATAAAACAATGCCCAGTGAAGTTACGCCCATTGAAGCATAAACACACATAACTAAACTAAGTATGGGCGTTAATTCACTCAACGTTTTTTTCACTGGGCGTTATAGCACTTTTTATTTTCAGTTCGATTTGGCTTTCTCAGCATTAATTCAATTGGTAATTCACCTAATTTCCCTTCAATTAAACGATAACTTTTTTCTTGGCCCAAATCGGATGTAATTTCAACTCAATATCGAACCTTCAGTTCCAGTTTCTATTGCTTCCTCCGGCGGCAGAGGAGAGGAGAATGACAAAGGACACGCAGTGTCCTCGCTATTGTTGACTGCCATTGTAAAGTTTGAGTGTAAATTCCATTAGGATTATATTACGGCACTTCAATCCACACACACACACACACACACACACACACACAGGCACATGCGCCGAAGGAAGCCGCAAAAGTTTCGCTTGGCCCATAAAGTAGGAGAATTCGTTTTATTATCCTTGAAGAGGAGAGTGGATGTGGAAGTGTAGATGGGGAGAGTTCAAATGGATTAGGGCCAAGCTCTGGGGTGAAGCCCCGCAAGGCGTTGGCCCGGCCCACTCACACATAACCATATCCATATCCATATCCATATCCGCATGTGCGTGCTGAGCAAGTGGAAGGATATGTGTCAAGGACACATACATTTTCCATGTGTGAGTGTGTGTGTGTGTGGGGGTTCCCCTTATAAGGCAGCTAGGTGCAATGGGCGTGGCCCCCAAGGGCTGGGCTGAAAAATACATTTGGGACACATTTGTTGTCCGCTAATTGATGTTGATGTCTCTTCCCTGTCTTTATCACCCATCTCTTTGGCTACCTTTTCACTGTCTTTATTTTTTGGGCACTCCCCAAGCGCATAAATTTTGAAATTCCTCTGCTTTTCGGGGCTCCGAAAAAGTTAAGACTTCGCCTAGAAATATTTGGGTTAATCGGCTTTCAGGGACTTTTGGCAATCTTTAAAGTTTTCACTTTAAGTGGATTCGGTTCTAGTGAACCTTACGTTTTAAGATTCTGTCCAATCTTTGAAAATCCTTCTTCCGCGTAGCGAACAAAGAAATCAAGTGCAGTGACCAGGGGGATTTCCCCGAACTCCAAACAGCTGCCAGCTGCAATACCAATACCAAAACGCCCCTTCGGACGCCTCTGCTTTTTCAGTTACAGCGTCGCCAACACAGAAATTTCCATTAGATCTACTTTGTAGCTGTGTGGATAGATGGATGGATGGCTGGATATGGATGTGTGTATCTGTGTTTCCATTTTGGCCGTTCTCGATTCTCGTTCGCAATAAATAAACACAATAAAGACTTTTAATGCGAATTCCTTCATAAAAATCACCAAGATGACGATGATGATCGCTTGGCCGCTGTGAAGATGATGATGATGATGGAGATGATGATTAGCGCTGGCCTCCGTCTCCATTTCAGAGATATTTTGCCTTTGCTTTTCCACTGACAGCTGTCGCATGGTCGAGAGCATCTAGTAGATACAAAAGTATCTTTAGTTATTATTATTTTGTTTTTTTGCCCAGAACGAGGTGCGAAAAGTGTTCTAAATGGCTTGGAGACGAAAAGCCACCGAAAAACCGAAAAAGCCACACGGCAAACAAAGTAAACGCGCTTTCTGATAAAATTCCACACACAAAGAGGGGGCAAGAGTGGCCATAAATAACAATAAATAAAAAGAACACGCAAACGGCGAGCAGCGGCGATAATGTCACCTTAATCAGCATAAATCGGTACGATGTCACAAAGTGAATTAGCTCTGGAAATTAATTAGATTCCGCCAAATCGAACGAGAGTACAGCAGAATCGTAGTGCCGGTGAACCGAAGAATCGGCGAACCGAAGAACCGTAGAGAAGCCCAGCGAAGAGCGAAGAGGGTGGCCAGATAAGATTCGCATTCGCCCGTGTTTTCCACCGATAAGACATCTTTTGACACGCAGCGTTCTGATAAGCCTCCGATGATAAAAAAAAACCCACACAAAGTTTAATGAAAGTTCCGATTGCGAACGTCCTTGCACGCATACCGCGTAAAAAAAGCGTAAATATCTCCACTGCACTCCAAGTTTTTCCGTTTGATTTCGCTTATCTGGAGGGCAGTGACTAATGACGCCTTGTACTAACCACATATAAATACAGATATGCGGAACAGGTGTGCGCAGGTGGATGCACAAGATACACAACGATATATATTTACACACAAATTTCCCATTCCCCGTGCGTCTCAGTTTTTTGGGTACAATAACTCTTGTTTTGGCCCAAAATATTGTTAGCACACAACTTTTCAACCCCCGTTGGTTAGTTACTCACCCCTTTTCGAGCAGCTTTCCCTATCCAGATCCTTCTGTCAACCAATTCATTTCCATAATTTTCCATTTCCAAGGCATTTCATTCACTTCGCCGCCGACAGTTTGAGTTTTATGGCCTACTATACACTCGACGTTCAAGCGGGTATAGTACAATGTCTATAAGAAATAAAGACATTATATTAGGGATTTGTATTTAGTAAGAGCTGAAAAAGTTATTAAAACAATATATATGAATTATTTGTTTTTAATGCTTAAAAATGATATATTAAGCTACATATTTTACTAACTATACTACAATGCTAAATAATAGTATTATATTAAAAAAAAACCCTTAAAATTGTTTTAAAAAAAAAATCCAAAATAAATTAAAAGTTTCTAAGGGTACTTTCCACATCGGGTTTCTTGTTACCCCCACTCTCTCCAGCAATTTTCAAATTCATATTTTGGTGTGACTGGACTGTCTTGTTTTGTGTGGCTCCCAAAGTTTAACGCTCGGAACGTGCGCGGAAATGTTTATAACTGTAAAACTTGAGCCACGCGTTCCCCATAAGTTAATGTGCACCATCCCAATCCATCCACCCACCCACCATTTGCACCAGATACATCCACTGCCCCCCGGAACCACCCGTTGTCAGGACATTTTTGGCACGACAGCGGGACGCATTTGGAATGTGCGAAAAGTTGTTGGCCAGTTCGCTCCTCTTCCTTCATGGTGTGCGCTTAATTTTTATAACATTTTTATGCCATCTATCTGGGACCCCCGACCTTATAGCACCCCCCCAACCAACCCCTCTTCTGTTTGCCCGTGGCGCTCTTAAGTGAATAATAAATTAATTGAATCGCCACGCGGCCCATTTTTGGCCAAAGCGAGGGGTAGTCTGAGAAACTGATAAATACACCACCCCCCAAAGCCCAGTCCATAAGTCCCTGGGTCTATTCGTAAACTTTTATGTTAATGGCCAAAGCTGGGCTTTATGATCGTACCCCCGTCGCATAGCAGACCCACCCCGCCCCTGCAATTAGCAAACTAATCAAAGGCAGATATATACGCTATCTAAATGCCTAATTAAAGTGTAAATTTCTAGCCATCTTCGAGGAGATTTGCAGCCCCCTCCCGGGCTGCAGTGACACTTAATTGGAAAACAGCTGACAAAAGGGCACCGTACGGAACCGAAGCGTTCTTCGTATCTATGAGATACTTATACGTAGATACACACTCGCTGTGTGTTTGCCTTTGGCCTTTCCGTGTGTTTGGCTTTGGCAATGCTTTTAATTAAGCCCGGCCAAGACAGCAGAAAAGAGAAAAAGATGGAAAAAGAAGGTACAGCGATTGTCTCCGCACAATGAAAGTTTATTTTTATGGCCAGAATACAGATACAGATACCGAATCAGGCACACACAAACACCACCCTCAACTGCTTTCTGCTCAAATCCATTTCGAAATATGAATAAGAGAATCGAAATAGATGAGAAACAACAAAGTGGGCAAAGTTTTCATTCTATTACAATGCGGCAAAGGATTGAATTGGAATCCGATGACGCAGGGAAAAGCAAAAATCCAGAAAACAAGAAAATCAGAAGAGAATCTGAGACTTGGATGCTTCAAATGGGTGCATGTGATTGGATAATTGCGGGGTAGTGGCAGATATATGATTTGAGATATGGTCTGTGGGCCGTATGGATCATATATAACCTAGAACTAACCCAACTTTATGGTTAGTTGATTAAAACATAAAATACTAAAATTGGTAGGTATTTTAATTTGGAAATAAATGTTTTTGGTTATTTTATATATTTATATTATTTGCAGGGTAATAACAGATATATGATTTCCGATATAGGTCTGTCAACCGTATGTATCATACGAGCATAACCTGAAACTAATTTAATTTTCATGGTTAGTTGAAAAATACCGAAATTTATAGGTATAAAATTTGGTACTTAAAGTTTTTAGGTAAATATTGCTGTCGACATGTTTGTATATATATTTCTATGGTCTAAAAATAATCAAATATTTCGGGTTAGAGAAGTTTCAGTTAGGATACTTTGAAAAAAAAATACTATTATTAATTTGGTATTTAAAGTTTTTAGTTAAATTCACTGAAAGTACTTTCGAAATTTCTCAATATGTATTCCCAGCCCGCAATGCATTGTTTCCACTGCTCTTGGCCTTTTCCCCCACTTATTGGCTCGTGTGAAATGTGGAGTGCGACCGAGGCACGTAGCGAAACAAACGAAACAAAAACCGATAAACGTTCGAGGCGGTAGATGCATGGACAAAATATATATATATATTGTTTCACATATTATAAGTCAAATGCTTAATGTACTTATGCGGCGTTTTCACATCGCACGCCCCGATGATAAATGCAGGTCCGTGCTCCTCGACCCGAGCATTATGTATCGCAATTATGAAGTGTTATTAATATAATGCTCGTTGTGCAATCGCACCGGCTGACAATCCATTCATTTGCATTCGATCGCTCGTACAATCGTATGCAAATGGAACGGGAATCCGAATCGGTCTCTGAGTCACCCATCAGTCACACTTTTGGGATATTTCGGGTAGCGACGTGACCGATGTAAATTCACCGATAAGTTGTGACATTGCCTAACGATTGGTGATGATGAATCAAGATGCCAAAAGGTTTTTAAAGATGTGACGATTCGTTTGGATACAATTTAGTGACATGTTATCGATTTAATCGTTTGTTTTCGATAAATTGATCGATAACACAAATCACAAATCATAACGATAAAACGCCATTAAATCGATAGCACTTAACGCTCGTAAAAATGAGAAGAAATGCATCGTAAAACAAGTTGATTAGTAATGCCCTTTGGTAACCCGTACTGATGCTAACGATACACCATTAATAGTGTAATAAAAACAAATAGCTGTTCGTTAGAATATTTTGTTTTTCATACCCCATCGATAAATTCTTTAGTACTTGCTGATTAGTTAAACGATGACAGGAATTTTGTGCCTTTTTTTCGCCAGCACCTCTATCGCATATTCATGGCGATGGTGGGACACCCCAGCGATCCGATCTCCACACGATCTCTCCATATATCTTCATCGGTACGATCGTTGCGAAAGCTTCTGTTCTCTCTTTTTTGCTGTGGCTGCTCAATCTGGTGGCCATCGATCGATCGATTCGGTTGGGCATCGATCGACTGGCAGCAAAAACTCGCACACTTGAGGGCAATTCACATGCCAGCCACAAATCAGCCGCAAATGACTTTATTCCCAAGTAGCAGCGATACAACTTAGGAATGTCAATGTGGCAAGTGCAGCTAAAAGGTTTCTAGGAGGGAGTTTTTTACAGCTGCTGAGAAATCCTGATGGGCATTTGGTAAATGTAGTCGGCCACGTGGCGTATGCGCAATCTCAAGTCAGCTGGATGGCAAGCTGAATGCTGTACCTAGAAATAAAAAGATATGAGTTTTTGAACATATATGATATTATATTATTGGATAAAGAGATATTATGAATTTTTGAACATACAACAGAGATGGCCTAAATTATATTTTATTATTTTGATAGAGACTTATAGCTGGGAATAAATAAAAGTTATACGATCAGTGCAAACGATCCGTTTGCAATGACTTTTCTGAAACAGCTCTCTTTTGAGAGTTGCAGTTTTAGTTGCCCTGACCCCAAATGTTCTCGGGGAGGCCACGCATGCGCAGTTACTGTCGATGCCGCTGATTTTGACGTTGACGTCCGCCGCATTTGGTCAAAATAAGCTTTGGCAACCAAGCCGGACCAATAGCCGGGCCAAAAAGCGATTTGTGCGATTTGTGCGAACCGAATGTCAAAAGTGATTTTCGTTGCAGTGGAAACGGGGGAAAAGAGCCACATCAAAGGCAGTAAGGCATTAAAAGCTCTCACAAACAACAAAACCTCAAGCCAAAAAAAAAAATAAAAATAAAGTAACATGCGAAAGTCATAAATCATAATTCTTTATTCTGCCTTCGTTTTGTTGCTGGCTGCTGACTGACTTTCGGTTTGGGACGGCCCGTGAAAAAAGGGGGGCTCTAAAACTTATAGAGCATATCACACACACACTCGCACTCGCATTCAGAGGCACCACCACAAGTGCAAACACTTCTGGCCATATGATAAATGGCTAAAAGCAGAAAAGCAGAAACCGCGCACAAAACCAAAATGAGATTTTTGTGTTCTGTTTTTCGGCTTTTGAAGTTTGACAGCCTCAATTTGCATTTTGAGCGAAATTGCGCCCCCTTCCCCCTGCCACTGTCCTACCCCCTTTATTTTATTTGTGCACATTAACCCACCCCTGCCCCTTGTCAGAAACATAGTTCATCTTCAGAATGCCACAAATATGCGGGGGGAAATAACTCCAGAGAAATTCCGGCCAAACTAAGTGGAGTTTTGGGGGCATAAACGGGGATGATAAACTGGGGAATACCCTGCACATTATTTCCCTCTTAATATAATATAATTTTGCTAAAATATCTTTGTAATTACAAAGTATTTCCAAGTAAAACGGAAACTAAAATTCTCATCCAATTGGTAAGACCGATTATAGCATGAATTTTACAGGGATTCACCTTTGCTGTAATTTCAAAATGATTGATCTTTCAACTTTTACTTTCAGATCATTTCAATTAGAACTGGGTATCTTTTGAACCCTTCAACCTAAGTTCAATTTTAATTTCTGATATTTCTTTCTCAAAATTTTGGTAATGATACCACTCAATTCTAATTTTAGTTCATAACACTCCCACATTTATCGCTATTTGCAGCCCCTGTTTAGGGGTTCTCGGGAGTCAAGCGAATTCATGGATGATTGCCTTCAATTGCATTTCAATTCTGTTTCAATTGCCGCCGAGGAATTTCGCTGCAGTTTCTCCTTCTGCTCACCTTCACCTCGCACAACCCGTGAGGAATGTGTGTTTTGGACCCCCAGCCCCTGAAGATCCCCCTGGATATGCTATTTAACCATATATCATAAATATATTGTTTGAACACCCACCCACCCGATCTATACTATATGGAAAGTGGGCCTGGGTCTGGTCTCAATTAACCGATTAATGGCTTAATTGGAGGCATTCGGAATATGTGTGCGAGATGTGGGGCTTTCTTGGTGCGTGATCAACCACGAGATCGTGATTTGTAAGCTCGATTGCGTGACACGCGCCTCACCAGCCCCCGAGACTTACATAAATCAATTTAGCCGAGTTTATTTTATAATTTAATTGCTTTTGTTTACGTTGACATGGCGTACTCACGTTCGTGAGTCGTCTTCCTCTCTGTTTCTCCCTTATAGAGTGGGCTATATATCATATATCTCTATATAGTACTTATATCTGGCGCTCTTCTCACTCTCTCTTTCTGTTTTGTCTCTGTGAATTTTGCAGATTCGCTGCCGATGTGAAGCGAGGTGCCGGCTGTTCGACGTTCAACGCATTCGCTCGGCCTTAGCGCTCTGAGCAACAACAAAAGTCGGGGACCTGAGCCGATGGAACCGATGGATCGGCCATACTCCTCCAAAAGCCCCCTCTCCATAAGAAAAGCCCTGAAAAAGGCAAAGGAAGAACTGTAGAGTTTTTTAACTTGTGATAAGCGGAAAAGTGAAAAGTGTGTGCCTCCAGAACCCGTAATATATATATGTATACAAGAATATAAAAAGAGATATAGAAGACAACTTTTTTGGAATAGTCCAACCAACCAATGCAACGCGTAGGCCTTCAACTGTGATTTAAGAATATATAAAAAAAAAACAACAAAAATAAGAAACCCTGTTCGTTACGTTTAATTTTATTAGTTCGGTTTAGTTTTTTCTGCTTAACTTTTCGCGTGTGCAACTGCTTACCGATTGATAGCCATGTTCAACTCCAACATACCGGCCTCCTCGCTGCTTGGGATCGACAACAGCGGCCTCCTGATGGGTGGCCACACGCCCAAGACGCCGGAGATCCTCAACTCGCTGATCGCCATGACCAATCCGCTGGACAGCTTTAGCTTCAGCTCGGCGGCGGCGGCGGCTGTTTCCGCCGCTGTTTCCGCATCCGCCGCCTCCTCGGCATCCTGCAGCGCCGCCTCCACGCCAGTGGTCACCGTGCGTCACTTCAACGGTCATCCCAATGGCCAGGTGAGGATTGCCATTCGGTGCCACATGGCGTATGCTTAACATGCGTATACTCTATTTTTCAGTCGCACTCCCAGGACAGCAGTCATTCCAGTTGCTCCGGATCGCCGCTCGACTCCCCAGCGGGCACGGCCACCACGCCCAGCGTCCAACAGGTATGTGAAATCATCTCTAATTGGATCCTGAAAATGAAAGGGGGATACTAAGTCAATCGTGGTTTTTAAAAGCTTGAATTGAGAGATTAAATTTAGATGCAATAGTCATATTAATTAGCCAGTTTTATCTACAATCTCAAGTATCTTTTATACCCATTCAAGTATTGTAATGCCCATTTAATAAATGAAGCCCTGAGTCAATCAGGGATTTTAAATGCTTCAATTGATATTTCGTATTTACATGCAAAACTCGTAGTAATTAGCCAGTCTTTAAAGTAACTTAAGTATCATTATTAAAATTAAAGCACCATTCTTTTTCTCATTTTCATAACCATTCAATTAAATGGGGAACCAGTCAATCATGGATTTTAAAAGATAGTCCTAATGTACATGCAATAGTCACAGTAATTAGCCAGCTTAAATAAGAACCCTTTTAAAAAATCTCAACAGTCTTTATTCTTGTATTGTTAAATTTCCTCATTTCAATAACCATTCAATAAAAAGGGGCTCTAAGTCAATCATAGATTTTTACGGCTTCAATTGATAGTTCCAATTAACATGAAATAGTCGACGTAATAGCTCGTTTGAATTACAAGCTACTAAAACATATTAATTATCTTTATTAAAATTAAAGCTCCATTCTTGTATAGTTCTTTTTTTTCCTTTTCAACTACTGTTCAATTCAACCCCTATTCCAACACCGACTACAACTTTACCAGCCATTGTTAGAGTTTTTCTCAAATCGTTTATATTTTGAAGACCAAATCGAACTCCGTTGAAAGGCAATCGCTGCAGAAAGCATGAGACATTAAAATTAAAACTAACTGGAACCATAAATCAAAGACAAGCGATTCAACTTGATACTTGCAATAATCAATAACTAATTGAATTGCAATTGAAGGCAACCTCTCAACTTGGGGAACCCAACCGGTTCCCTCCAAAAATGATATATATATATATGGATAATACGGTATACTGGTCAGTCGCCGAAATCCAAAATTTAAAAACCGAAATGAGAGGCAAAAGTACATGGGGTTCTAATTTATGTGAAATTTTGTTGGAAAACAAATTGAAAAGACGGTGTGCCTCTCTCTTTCAACCCGTTGCGCTGCAGCAATTAAAAGCTGCGCCGGCCCAACGCCTATAAATTCGTTTCAAGTAATAATCATAAATCACATTTGCATGGGATAGGGGATAGGGGATAGCTGTATAGATGATATAGCCAGCCATATAGACACCTGCCAATTATTGCTGGCAAAAAGGAGGGGCTGGCGGGAGCGGACTAGGGATGCGTTCGTTGCACAATCCAGAGATCGGATAGGCGGCCTTTAACTCTCGTATGTGGAATTAATCGCTGAAGTTGACACCACCGCAGTTACGTGCCTCATTAAGGCCAATGTCAGTCAGCCAGCCAGTCAAGAGTGATTCTCCCCACTCGCACAGAGATTCAGATTCAGATTTAGCGGCAGATTCAGATGCAGATGCAGATACTCGAACGCAGTGCCGCAAAAGTGAAATCAATTCTCGCCGCGTCTCGCAATTGACGCCCACGTCAGACAGACGGACGGACAGAATCGCATACGGACAAAGTTACGGACAAATTGACAGACGGACAGACAGACCAATGGCCGGTGGAGAGTGCGTGGGCCGCTTTTGCACGGCAGCGTGTGCTGTGCGGTGCTGCGTGGGCGAACAGTCATCGAATAAATGAATGAATGAAACTGACCAAATTGAAGCGGCCAGATTGAAACTGCAAGTCGGTAGATTGCGACTGAGTTTCCTCACTTAAAGCAACCGAACTGTAGTTGATAATGTTTTAAGGAGTAGTAGCGATTGAAACTAAAGTTTTTCTTTAAGAAATAGTTATTCAAAGACCCTAAAAAAATATATTTATCTTTATTTATTTACAAAATGCTAAGCTTTCTGTTACAAACTAAGGGCTTAGAAAATATATACAAAAACTGGTATAATTCAAATCGAATATTTTGAATAGTTTTCGTTTATGAATATACAGATCAAAGGTTTTTGTGCAAAATTGCACATAAATTTTATTTAATTTTAACTATGACATTAAAGTCAGCCCAACAATGTTTGCGTCTTTTATAAGTTTTCTACAGAATACGAAGCGAACTTTGTTTCATTTCGATTTAAATATGAATTTAGCAGGCGGTTTGACCCCGACTTGAACCCCGCACAATCGGAGCCGGACCCATTCAAAGGTTTCCTGCCCTCCGTTTGTTTGTTTTTTCTTTTTTTTATTTCCTTAGCACGCCAAATATTTGCACAAATGTTGCCGAAAAAGAACGCCAAGCAAATGGGGGGAAATGTAAAATGGGGAGAAATTAAAAGAAGGGCAAACAGAACGAGTGAGAAATGTGCAAAAGTGCAAACAAGCCAAACAAAATGCAAATTTGCCAGCCCGAAAATGGGCTCTTCAATGTATCTTTTTCGGGCGAATTTTGCGACTAAAGTTGCAGCGATGCGAAGTGCAAAGAAAGGCTCGGCCGTTCCGCAAAAGTCGGTACATACAGATGCAGATACAGAAACGAAGATACAAAGATACTGAGATACTGATTCAAAGATACATTTACAAAGATATAAAGCCGCAACCTGTGATGTCCATTCCGATTCCGATTCCCATTTCCATTTACATCCACATGCACAGCCCCATTTCCCCCGACGCAATTGCACAATTTTCCAGCAGACTTTGTCCGACTTTTCGAGTCGACACTGACCATATGGTCATATGCATTGGCTCCGATTTGCCAGCGACTTTAATTTTTTCTCCTTTTTTTTTTGGGTCCGGCGCATGCGATTATTATGATTTTGCTTTGGATTTCGTTTTTCGGCATTCTTTACTTGTCGCTTTTTAAGCACAAAATTTATTTATCTGATTTCTGGGTCAATAAATATACCGCAGCGTGCCTAAAATTCAAATGGGAACCCGACCCGCTGCCGATGCCGAAAAAATTAACAGAAGCGCAAAGGCAACATTGGGGAGAAGGGCGCGTTCAATCAGTAATCAGTGGCATCCGAACAATTTCTCGAGCAGACAACAAACAAAATGCGCAAAAAAGGGAAAAACCAACGGAAAAAAATAAAAATTATATATATATAAAAGAGGCGTCGGTCTGGTCGACAATCCAATGAGCTGCAGATTGAAGAGGCCAATTGTGACAGCCCCCTTTGATGGATGCCATATTGCAAGATGATATATTTTGGTGGGTGATATGCTGGAAATCCATATTATATAAGAACGTCCTACAGGCTTTGTAGGCGCCATAGATCATATCATAGATCCTTAAAGAGCATCTTAGGCATATGTGGCATCCTCTCTCGCTGCTGAAACGCAGTGGGAGCACAGGTGGGTTTCTGTATTATCCTTGGTCCTTTCCTCGGGGAGATTCCACTCCAGCGTTTGGATGGCGCGTTCCCTAATGGGAACTGGTTCCTTCTTTGCTGGCTCAAACTCCCCAGTGACTTCATTTAGGTGATACTGATGTCCGGACTTAAAGGCTGCTTCCTTTGCCATACCTTTAGGAATTGTATCGTCAGTTCCAATTACCGGTATGTGATTCTTTTTCCTGCACACCCACTTGTTCTCCACGCACACGTATTGCGGCAATTCGCAGATTCGTTTGACCACGATGACGCTGGGAGCCTTTTTCCGGCGGAATTCTTTCCACCGGCTTTAGTTCTCGCCAGCGTTGCCAAATGCATCTTGTCATCAGAATTCTATAAGAGATTTTATTTAAGCCAGTGAATTTGTTTTATTCAGTGCTTAAATATAAATCTTTTTATATTTATATTTTATAAAAAACAATTCGAGAACCCGGTTATTCAATTACCTTTGCAATTCAGCTTAAGACCCAGTTTAAAAATGGTTTCACAAACACTTCAGTGCCCATTTTCATACCACTTAGGGCATTCCACCAGTTCATATAGCCGAGTTCAGCCAATGCAGTCAATCAACGAAAGTTGTCATTGTGCGGAATGGAATGGAGTGTAGTGATGACCATCTGTTCCTTTCCGCACACTAAGGTCTTGAGCTCCTCCATAAATGGAACTGACCCAGTGCAGGCTGGCTATCGAGGTTACTACGTTTTTTGGTTTTTGTTTTCGGCTTTTTAAGTGCCCCATAAGCCCACCCACCTCATCGAGTGCCGAATGCACTTGTCAGGGCAAAAAAGAGAGAGCACTGAACACTTTCTGGGCGTGGTGATTGTCGCAGATTTCTATCTGTGCGCTGTAATATTTATAATTCATGCACCACTCGAGTGTCCCCAGACCCAGACCCAAACCCAATCCCAAATCCAGGTGCCAAGCCCTAAGCCAAAGCGCAAAAAAGGTCGCTGGAGTAAATCACCGGACAAATAAACAAACAAACAAAGCTGAAAATGCCGCTGGAGATAATCTCGTCCCGAGAAATCGGGCCGCGATTCGTCATAACTATATCTGCCTGCCCCGAAGGGCGTCAAACTCTCAAAAATAAACTGTGTCGAAATTTCACTTTGTAAAATCCACCTTCTCAAGAAAAAAACTTAAGATCAGCCAGTAATATTCTTTCGATGAAGGAGTTCCCAAAAACCAACAAAAATAGTAATATATTCATAGTTTTCGTCCTATTCTCGACCACAAGTTAAACCAAAATGAATTATAATTTGAAAGTTAAAAC